CCACGGTGAGGAGAGACAGCTTTTTACTGGTGTTTGCCAGTCCTTGTTCAAATTTCTGCCCTTAACCTCTAAATTCACAGAGCACAGAGAAGCATTTGCTTGTCTATTTCACTCATGAAGCCAGCGTTCCAGCTTGAAGGCCTGTTAGACTGCAGACAGATTGGCACTGGGATACAAAAAGGAAACATCCACATTTCTGGTGGTAGACAGTTCAAAGCGTAGTTGGGATGTAGAGAATCAAAGCAGAGAGTACAATGCAGTGATAAAGAATATCAGCTGCGGTTGGGCGCGGTGGCTCAAGCCTGTAATCCCAGCACTTTGGGAGGCCGAGACGGGCGGATCACGAGGTCAGGAGATCAAGACCATCCTGCCTAACCTGGTGAAACCCTGTCTCTACTAAAAATACAAAAAACTAGCCAGGCGAGGTGGCGGGTGCCTGTAGTCCCAGCTACTCGGGAGGCTGAGGCAGGAGAATGGCATAAACCTGCGAGGCGGAGCTTGCAGTGAGCTGAGATCCGGCCACTGCACTCCAGCCTGGGCGACAGAGCAAGACTCCGTCTCAAAAAAAAAAAAAAAAAAAAAAAAGAATATCAGCCGGGCAGAGTGGCTCACACCTGTAATCCCAGGACTTCAGGAGGCTGAAGTGGGCAGATCACTTGAGGTCAGGAGTTCAAGACCAGCCTGGCCAACATGGCAAAACCCCATCTCTACTAAAAATACAAAAATTATCTGGGAGTGGTGGCAGGTGCCTGTAATCCCAGCTACTTGGGAGGCTGAGGCAGGAGAATCAGTTGAACCTGGGAGGCAGAGGTTGCAGTGAACTGAGAAGATCATGCCACTACACTTCAGCCTGGGTGACACAATGGGACTCCATTAAGAAAGAGAGAAAGAAAGAAAGAGAAAGAAGGAAGGAAGGAACGAAGGAAGGAAGGAAGGAAGGAAGGAAGGAAGGAAGGAAGGAAGGAAGGAAGAAAGGGAGGAAATCATAGAGTTATGCCCAGAGTCTAGTCTAGTGCAAAGCAGAATATCTAGTATAATACAGGAGTAGTACAGGAGGTCTTCCTGGAAGAAGTGGCAGCTGAGCTGAGTTCTGAAGATTGAGTAGGCGTTTGCCAGGTCTATTGGCATGCTTTTAGCTGCTAGTAACAGACAATTACAATCACTCCCAATGTTCCCTCCAAATCATTGCCACTATTTTGGAGTTTTCTTCCAGATACATGTGTGTGTATGTGTATCTCATAAGTTTAAAAAGTTTTAGAATAGGCCGGGTGCAGTGGCTCACGCCTGTAATCCCAGTAATCTGGGAGGCCGTGGAGATTGGATCACCTGAGGTCAGGAGTTCGAGACCAGCCTGACCAACATGGTGAAATCCTGTGTCTACTAAAAATGCAAAAATTAGCCAGGCATGGTGGCAGGTGCCTGTAATCTCAGCTACTCGGGAGGCTGAGGCAGGAGAATTGCTGGAACCTGGGAGGTTGCAGTGAGCCAAGATCACTCCATTGCACTACAAGCCCAGGTGACAACAGTTTGAGACTCCATCTCAAAAAAAAATATTAGAATAATCTTGTACATATTATTAACTTTCATTTTACATTTAACTTTTTAAAAATGATTAAACTTTTCTCAGCATATTCTCATCATTAAATATTATTTAAAATATTATTTTAAGGTTAGATAGTATTTTATCATATAAATAATTCATATTTACTAGTCCCCTGTTGTTGAACATATATGTATTGTTGAACATTTATGTTCTTTCCAGTCTTTCAATATTGTAAATACTTTTTGTATCTCTCTCTTATTACTTATTTAGGAAAAATTCATAGATGTTGAATTACTGAGTCAGAGCATAAACATTTTAAAGACTTCTAATATATTCAGCCAGAATGCCCTTCAGAAATATTACACCAATTTGTTCTAGCAGTCATGAGAACACGCACTTGCATGAGCTCTTGCCAACACTTGATATTACACCGTTATTGCATTCCAATCTGTTAATCATTTCCTTTTCTTTCTTTTTACCCTTTTTGCTTGGAAATATCTTCCCTAGCCCAAGATCAAATAAACAATAACTTTTCTCATTTAAAAAAATAATTATTTAATCAGTCTAGAATTTTGGGTTTTGATATAAGAATCATGATGATTTTATGATATTCTGCCCGCCAACCAGAGCAGTGCTGGAGAGGTGCAGAGATGGCTTCCTGTTTCCTGTTTCCTGTTTCCTCCAAGTTCTGGGTCTGTGATTTAGGGATCTGCTGGTGAGAGAGGTTCAAAACATCTTCCTACCTTATTTCATGGACTGTCATTGTTTCAAGAAGCAAATTACACCATCAGCTCCAGGAAGATTTTTTCCACTGCTTCATCTGTCTTAAGATCAGTCCATTGCCACCTGATTCTGCATTCTGCCATCCGATGGGCTTAGTGCTGGGTCATGTGAGAAGTTTCTATCTTTGTCTGTGTTCTAAATTTGCAGTGTATTTTATTTAAAGTATGGAAGCAATTTGATTAGAAGTTACTAGCCAGGCTTTGCATTAGGTTTTAATATCTTGTAGAATAGGATTACTTTCTCTTTTTTTGCTTTAAAATTCNCTCATTACTCTTTTGCATAATGTTTAATCTCCCTTGTGGCCCTTTTGAAGTTCTTCCCCAGTCCCTCATCTGTCTCTCTGGTATTTTGATTGGCATTTGCATTATATGTATTAATGAGAGGTAATTTGGCATTTAAGAAATGTCTTATTTTTTCCTGATCATAAAACTATTTGTTCTTTACAGAAGATTTAGAAATACAGAAAATTATAAAAAAGAAAAGTATTACCTTTAATCTCACCACTTAAAGGAAAAAAAGTGCAAACATTTTGCTGTATTTCCTTTCAGACTTTTTCTTAGTTTATACATGTTTGAGCATGCATAAAACTTGCATTGATATGATTATGATATTTCATCTTCCTATCCAGAAGAATAGAGTATGTCTTTCCACATTCCATTACAAAGAACTAGTTGGACGCATTCATTTATTCCACTGTTAATCTGTTTTTATTAATTCTTGTATCCTACATTTTGTACATTTCTTTGATTTCTCACTAGTTTCTTGAGTAAACTTCTTTGTTCATTTCACTTTCTTGATTGATAATGAAAGCATTTAAAGATACGAATTTGACCTTTCTTGTAGCTTTGGCTAAATAGAGACAATAAAATCTAGAAACTTCTGAAATAAATTAAACCTAATTTAGAGAAAAAAGGAAAGTGCGCATTTTCTGTAGAGTACAAGGCACATCATATATATTTAAAATTAGGCTGTTATTAATATTATAAAATCAAGTTATTATTCATATATTCCATATCTTATTGCATGCTACCTAGAATTATCAAATATTAACAGCAGGACAAAAAAGTCCTCACTAGTAATTTTAGGTGAGAGTTTGAGGTAAAGATGAGGGCATGATATCACATAGGGTTTCTTTCATATCTATCAAGACCCTAGGTCTGTGATTTTGTGCTTCCTTATATGCACAGAGACTGATTTGTAATTGCACTGAATGTGTAACATACTGATATTCCTGCCATTTTACATTACCATAGAAAAAGCAAAACCCAGACCTCCTAATCAAACTGATAGATTATTGTATCTCTACCTCAGAATATCGACGAATCCACCAGCAACCATGATGATATGCTTTGACTCTGTGTTCCCACCCAAATCTCATCTCAAATTGTAATCCCCATGTGTCAAAGGAGGAACCTGGTGGGAAGTGACTGCATCATGGGGGCAGTTTCGCCTATGCTGTTCTTGTGACAGTGAGCAACTTCTCACAAGATCTGTTGGTTTTACAAGTGGCAGTTTCCCCGGCTCTTCCCTCTCCTCACGCCTTGTGAAGAAGTTGCTGCTTCCCGATTGCCTTCCACCATGATTGTAAGTTTCCTGAGGCCTCCCCAGCCATGCGGAACTGTAAGTCAATTAAACCTCTTTTGTTTATAAATTACCCAGTCTCAGTTATTCTTTATAGCAGTGTGAAAATGGACCAATACAGGAAATTGGTACCAAGAGTTTGGGGCACTGCTATAAAGATACTGGAAAATGTGGAAGCAACTTTGGAACTGGGTAATGGGCAGAGGTTGGAACAGTTTGGAGGGCTCAGAAAAAGACAGGAAGATGTGGGAACATTTGGAGCTTCCTAGAGACTTGTTGAATGGTTTTGACCAAAATGCTGATAGTGATGTGGACAATTCCGTGTGCATTTTGTTGGGAGGTAGGGTCCTAAATTATTCATTCATTCTTCCTTCGTTTCATTCATTATGCGAGCAGTCTCCTAAGTAGGCACTCTGAGTAATAAACTCCATCAGACGTAGTTTCTATCATCAAAAAATATCGTCTTTGGTAGGGAAGAAAGTAAATAAACCTTAATATAGATCTTGGACAAGCAGCCCTTGAATAAGTGGTCAAATAAATTTGTTGCAAATAAATACTTTCAGTCATTGTGTTTTAAGAATTATCATTTGTATGCATCGAGGAGAACTTCTACAGCTATTTGTCTTCAAAAAGATTTTTTCTTTGTATTTCGAATAATTTTGGCCTAAAATTTGTATTTTCAGGTGTTCATATCCATTCTACTTAATTGGCATTGTTGTCATCAATTGCCGTCTCTTCCAACTCTGAGGAAATTGTCATAAAGGGAATTGTTCAGAAATAGTGTTTCCGAGCACTTGTTCACATATTTGTCTGGATCACATCTATCTGTTCTCTCAATGGCTTTCTTTCGTCCCACCTAAATGTTCCAAGGCAAGGGTTGTGTCATTATTTGTATCTCTAGTGCCATTGCTTTTGACACATAGTCAAGGCTTCTCAACAGAAGTGTATCCAATTGGAATTTTTTCGCACCCCGAAAGAGACAATTCCTTCACTAACGCAGACAAAAGGGGCGGGGGTGCTCAGGCGCTGAGGATTCTGGGCACTGTAGTTCCGACGCTCCGGCTGCGCAGGCGCAATGCCCTGCCTGGAGGCCGGCCCCGCCGAACCGCCGCCATTGCTGGAAGCGTTCCCGCCCTGCTCTGCGAGTGCCCTCAGTTGTCCTCAGTTCTGCCGCCAGGTACTCGTTGTCCCGGGCGCCTGGCCTCGGTTGCCCGCCGCCCCTCCCTTGGCGCTTGGCTCCCGGCGGCGTCTGGGGCGTGGCCGTTCCCTCTATAGCCCCAGACCCTGAGCGGACCCGCCCACCCCTGAGAGGCGACTGGGGCTGGGCCTCCTTCTCGAGTGTGGGTTCAGTCACCAGCCGGCCCCCCTCATAGGTCGGGCCCCGTGCCCTCTGAGGCCTGTTAACCCGGGTGCGAACCCGGGAACCTCCTCCCTGGCGGGCCTGGCGGCGCTGGGGTTAAAAAGAACCGGGTGCGGGGCGTGAGCTGGGATTCGAGTAGGACGGGCGGGCCCCTGACCCGACCTTTCCTGTCTTCCCAGCCCCGCGCCTTGCTGGCCCTGAGGAGGGCATACCCGGAGTGGGTAGAGGAGAGCAGTTAGAGAAAGAGGGCGAGGTTGGCAGGAGCATGTCCATGCCGGCTCTGGCTTCTGAACTGGCAGGGATGAAACTAGGTTTCACATTGGTGGACCAGCGCTACTCAGTAACCGAGGCAGCTTTTCCTGAAATGTAGCATTTCAAATACTGTAATCACCTTTTAATCACTTGTCACTCCCTGTCATGACAATGGTGTTATTGCATTGATTGGGAAATGCTGGACTGGTGCATGGCACTGAGATTCTTAGCAAAAACATGGACCCTTCATTATTTCTAAATAACTACACTGGCCAAGGAAGCAAAACAAGTAAAGTTTCTCCTTCAGTCTCTGGATACTTTTGCAATAGCTGGAAAGACAGAGCTTGTAAATATCTAGGGAAATTATAACTGGGGAATATTGGCCTAGATATCTTCTGCATAGTGACAAAGGGGATAGTAGAAATATATAATGTGGTTACTCTCATGTACTAATAGCTGATTCATTGTGCTCAGTGACTTGCCTGTAGTCACAGTTCTACAATAGCCAAACCAGGGTTAGAACCTGGGGCTGTGACCAGCCGCTCTGGGATTTTATTCCTATTCCAGACTCCTATGTATATGTAGATACTTCTTCTTGTCTACTTGGAAAGTACAGAAAAGCAGAAAGAAGGGTAAACATCACAGCCCCAGGTGTCAGAGGTCTCAGTAGAGTTTTGGCTTACTCGCAGTCTTTTTTTCTATGCATTATATTTACACAATTGAGATCAAGCTGAATATATTAAATGTTAAATATTGTTCATTCTGATTATAAAATAGAACAAGGTGTTTATTGCAGTTTGGTTGTTAAACATATGTTACTAGCATAATTTATATGAAGTATTGTCACGGAGGTTATTAATATTTACAAGTATTTTTTAAATGACTCAGCTCACTCTTGATAAATGTTAAAGATGCAGAAAACTGTTACTCTAGACCTGAGGAATTGCAAATGCCTTATGTTGCTCTTCGTACGTCTGCTTTAGTGTTCGGGGGCTTGGGGGTGTGCAGTATTCTTGGCTCGTTTTTTTCTTTGCAACCTTGTAAAACTTGGGGGTCAGTGTATGGGCTGGGGAGGGAGGGTCAGTTTCCAAGCTCTCTGAAGTAATATGCAACATCATATATGCATGTGCATTATTCTGTGGACAAGGTCAGATTCTCAGATGGGTCCATACCCCCAAAAAAGTTAAGGTTTACTGGTATGCATAGACTGTGTAGTGGTGAGATCAGGGCTTTCAGGGTATCCATCCCCAGAATAATGTACATTATACCCATTAAGTAATTCCTTATTCTCCACCCACCTCCCACTCCTTCACCCTTCAGAATCCCTATTGTGTATCAGGACAGTATTTCTTAAAATACTACACTAAAACTAAAACATTATATAATTTAACATATTACATATTATATAATTAACATGTTAACATATTATATTAAACTAAATATTTCTTGAGGTGTACTTGTTCAAGTGATGTGTATTTCTGTGCCTCACATCTGGAGATCCTGATTTTGATCTTGGATGGAGCCAAATAATTTCTTTTTTAATAAGCATATCCAGTGAGTTTTTTGCATTCTCAGATTTGAGACCCCTCTAATTATACAGGGAGTGTTTTCATTAGAAAATGGGAGAGGAGTCATAATTTTCATTAGAATTGCAAAAGGCTCTATGACAGAAAAATCTAGAGAAACACTGGTATAAGGCAAAACCACTTACTGGTTTGTTACCTTGAGGCTTCAATACAGGAATCCCCTCAGACTATTCTTTCTTTACCTCTTTTATCTCCACACTGCACTGCTTTCCTCCCTCACCTTCTCATTGTTTCTCTTCCACCAAAACCTTTTCATTTTGCCTAAGAAAGCCCCAGTGTCATGAAAGAAACCACTCTACATTTTTAAGATACTCACTTTTTTTTTTTTTTTTTTTTGAGACGGAGTCTCACTGTGTTGCCCAGGTTGGAGTGCAGTGATGCAATCTCTGCTCACAGCAACCTCCTTCCCAAGTTCAAGCAATTCTTGTGCCTCAGCCTCCCGAGTAGCTGGGACTACAGGTGTGTGCCACCATGCCTGGCTGATTGTTTTGTATTTTTTAGTAGGAACGGAGATTCACCATGTCAGCCAGGCTGGTCTCGAACTCCTGACCTCAGGTGCTCTGCCTGCCTCAACCTTCCAAAGTGCTGGGATGACAGGTGTGAACCACCATGCCCAGCCAAGATATTTACGTATTTTCTTGATTTAGCTAAACCCTAGTATCCTCCTTGAGTTAGTACATTAATCTGACAGTATAAGTTTCAGTATACCCATATCTATTTAATTATTTAATTTTTGTATCTCTAATATTCTTTGCATTCATGATAACCTTGCTTTATATATTAATATTGTTTTTCAAAGAATAATGGTTAAGTACTTCAAATACCTTTTTAGATGAGCTTCTGATTGTTAGACACTGTAAGGTTAGATTGAGTTCTGCTATGTTTATTGAGCAAAGCTACTGAACCTTATGAGAAGCAAGGTGCACATTCAGGGAAGGAGCAGATTCCACATGTTTAAGCATAACAAAGGCCCTAGCTGCAGGACCATATAATTGCTTATAACACTTTTTGCACAAGGTAGAGTTTCTCAAAAACTCAATACTTACTATGTCACTGCCCTTTTATTCATGAGGCTAATATTACCATCCTAGAAGAATTTATATTAACAAACTGTACTGTTTGATATCCTACATCAGGCACTCCTGGTTCATGAACCAAACTCAGCCTCAGCAAGGCCATACATACCATTAGCCAAAGGTAGAAAAGCAGTGCCCAAGCATCCCTGGAAAAGATCTCTGTCACCCTGTTCCTCCATAGTATAAAACTTTTTTTAGGTATATACTTTTTTCAGCATAGAAAGACTACAGCTTAATGCTTTGTGCACTGAATTTCATGTCTCTTCTATTATTATTATTATTATTATTATACCTGCTTCCTTTTTATTTAAGTTTGCCTGATATAGAAAGGATAAAGATCTATTTGAATATCAGATTGGGAGGGGGTAAGTCAAGACTTCCAATATCATTTAAATTTTGAAGTTGTAGCGTTCTCTTTACACAAAACAGATCTCTGAAAATGTTAAGAAATTGACTCTTCGTGGGAAAGGCAAGAAAAGGAGACTCTTAGAATATGTAATTGTTAGATGAGTGAGTAATTATGGCAAAGAAAGATTGAAGTATTATTTTGTTGTACTTCACACAGCATGTTGATTCAGTGGAAAAGGTATGGGCTTTGGAATTAGATTGATTTGGAGTCATGTATTTGCATGGCCTTGGGTAGTTTAATTTTTCTAGACTCAGTTTCCTCATCTATGGAATGGGAATATTATTCCTATTAGGTTGATGTGAAAATAACTTGAGAAAATATTTTAAAACCTCCTTGTACAATGGCTAGCCTGTTAGTTGTGACTATAGTTAACAGTGCTAAAATCTCGAGCTCTACAGGAGCAAGGGTCTTTGTCCTTCACTGATCTTAATGGTTACTCTTGTGCTTCCTTAGGGAGGCCATGCTCACTTCTATGTCAGGATTCCAACTTGGTAAGTCTGAAATTCCCCAGGCAGGATTGGTTTTCATGGCTTATTTCTCTTCCTTAGATATGTCTCTGCAAGACTCCACTCTTTCCAGAGAGGGGAAGCCAGAGGCAGAGATTATGGCTGCTGTGTTTTTTTCAGTTGGACCTCTGGTAAGTTGGGATTCCCTGTTTTTGACCTACTCTCTTGGTTTGAGAGCATGTTTACTTTTCCCGAAGGCTTGTGACTTCTCTACTTCCCCGACACCACTTCTGAGAACTCAACTAAATAGACCCATGAAAATTGAGTTCACAGTAAAGGCAGTAAACTATGGGAGGATTCACTATACTTACTTAACCAAGTATCAGGACACATGATCTTTCAGAAAATATCTGAGCTGTCATTAGTTATGACAGGCATCTTTAATTTTGATATTAAATTTGTATTGTTCCCAGGAAACTTCAGTTATTTATGGGACAGCAGAATGGAATATTTTTCAATTGGAAAATTTTATTTAGGAAATTTTGGGGAAAATATATGTACACAAACACATACCCCAGCCCTGATTTATAGGAGCCATTGCCCTTGTGCCACTGTCAGTGATCTCTTTTCTACCCATTAAGAAGTGATCAGATTTAATAGATTACATTGAGAGAATATGTTTAAGACAGTGCTTGGCTGTAGGGAATTTACAGTTTCATTGAGGTAAAATGTACAAAAGTAATAATTATATTATTTAGGTGAATAATAGTTGCTTATCAGTATGATAAAGATGATAAGTACTATGAAAAGAAAGAAATGAGACGATAGTGTGGGCTAAACTGGTCATAGAAAGTTCATGAGGATAGTTAGATTTAAGCTGGTACTGAATTACAAATGGGATTTTAATTGTCATAAAGTGTTTGTGAAGATAGTTCAGGTGAGAAAGGGGTTGAAGGGCAAGGCTTCAGAGGCAGAGAACAGGGGGTGAGCTTGTGATTCAAGTTGGAAAGTTGTGACAGATAGGGCTGGAAATTAGATAGTTGAGATGAATCTTTTAATGTTTCCCTGAAGGCATTGAAATGTGTGTGTGTGTTTGAGTGTCCTTGGGATTAGTATTAATGTGATAAAAGCTGTGCTTTAGCAGTGACTTTTTAAAATAGATTCCGAAGAAAGAGAATACCAACAAAAATATTTTGTTACAGTAATGATCTGTAATAACCTGTGATTCTGGTCTTTTATTCTTTGTAGCCAGAACATGTGACATGTAAATAGTCCTTAAAACATACCCTTGAAAAGATAAATAAAACCAAAATGTTGCCCTTGATCACTGGGTACAACCGTATTTGTCTAGTCATGTATCACTGGATCAACCCGTCTCTATCAGAGATTGAAGATTCACATCATCATTAATTTTCTGGAATCTGAATATTTGTGCATTTTTAGGCAAGAAGTTGTTGAGGGAGAGTTAGTCTGACATTTTTTCATAATGATCTTTAAATATGTAGTTTTATTATCCATAATTTTTTTAAATGGCACAAAATCTGAAATGGATAACTATTACTAGAAGATAAAGTAAAATATCATTTCATTTATAAAATCAGGCCCTCATGGGCTGGGTGTGGTGGCTCATGCCTGCAATCCTAGCACTTTGGGAGGCTGAGGTCGGCAGAGTGTCTGAGCCCAGGAGTTCAAGACCAGCCTGGGCAACATGGCGAAACTCTGTCTCTACAAAAAAGAGTACAAAAAATTAGCCTGCATGGTGGTGCGTGCCTGTAGTCCCAGCTACTCAGGGGGCTGAGACAGGAGAATCACTTGAACCTGGGAGACAGAGGTTGCAGTGAGCCAAGATGGCCCCACTGCACTCCAGCCTGGGCAGTGACAGAGTGAGACTCTGTCTCAAAAATAAATAAATAAATAAATAAATAAAATAAATTAGGCCCTAATGGAGATACAGTTTCTAAGTTTTGGAAGGAAACAATGTTATGAGAGGTTGCTGATTTCCTGGGTGACTGCTGAGCCATATCCCCCCACCAAACACTATAATGATTTTTCAGTTGTAGAAAACAGATAGTAGGTTTTGAATATTATTCTTGAGCAAGATAGATACTTTCTGAGAAATAGATTTCATCCCAATATGAAAAAGCAGACTTACATAGTGTCTGAAGGCCCTTTATTGTAAGTTTATTTTTGTTTCGATAGGTTCTTTGTTAAAAGCAGTTATATCTTTGTCAATCTTACATGTGTTTGTCATTGTCCCAAACAAAGTGAAAGATTATGATTGCATGTTACAATGGGACTTTGATTTCAGCCCTAAGTTAAACAGTAGACGAGGTCATCCCATATACACTGCATCCACAGTGGATTGGTGGTGCTCGTTGAGGCTCTGCTGTGGGTCATAGGCAGCCTATCACTGAGTGATCTTATCCTGTATCCCATCAGAACCCTGAAGTTACCCAGCCAGATGAAGATCTTCACCTTCAGGCAGAAGAAACAAAATTGGTAAAGGTAATACCTACCGTTGTACATATAATGAATACAGAGAAAATGCCTATTTTACTGCCTCTGATTCTCAATGTTACCAGTTAATTGCGAGTTCACAATGATTATTTGATTGGTATGGTAGCCCCAGGGCTGGTGGCATCAATTTAACAGATTTCATTTCTCTCAGAGGTGACAGCCCTAATCTAGCCAGACAGTCACATCATGATTACTAATGGTAAAATATTCTATCACCACATAGTCTGATGCTTGTGCTGCATTGTAAGACCCAATGCTGTGCCAGTAAAAAATACCAAGAGTACATCAACATTGTGGAAATAGTGTTAAGATGAGTTTGAATTGGTTTAGATATTTTATTTCATTTTATTGATTAAGGCTTTCTTATTTGTGAATACTGAATCCACTTGATTTTTCCAGAAAAAGTAAAAATCAGAAATTTGTTGTGATGAGAAAAATATCCAAAACTTAGAAATAAATAAAAGATAAATGTAGGCCGTTTCAGAGTCATATTAGACCATTGTATTAACAAGCCTGTCTAAGGGTTATCTGACATAGCAGGGGAGGGTTATGTTGTTTGACTTACCATTTACTGTTAATTAATATTTAGATCCTAAAAGATACTAACTTGTACAAGATTGAAACGTTGCAATTATTTTTGCTAGGATAAAAGATAATCCCCAAAGTTATGGTATTACTGTCCTGTAGGACATTAATCGGGTTTGTATCTAATTTTGCAGTCTTATTCCAGCATTCTTTTTTCTATTATCTGTATATCGGTTTCTTGCATCTCCTTTAAACTTGTCTTGTCTAGCTGCTGATCCCTCATTAATGACTTAAGTAAATCTTTGACAAGTATTCACTATGCTTTTAGAAGAATTATGTTTTTAAATTTTTTAAGATTATCCTTTGAAGGTTGGTTTTATTCCAGAGATGTTTTATGTAAAATGTGGTTTTTACTTTTGCTTCTCTGACAAAATACATTCTGAGATTCAGTTTTATACATAATATTTTTGAAATGATTTTTCAATTTTTTTAACATGATAACTTAGATTCTTAAAAACTTAAGGTAGAAATATTCATAGTTTTAGACTTTGAACTATGAACCTTAGGAAAATGCCATACTTTTTGGCATGGTGTACAATTCGTATGATTTATTTTTGTTCTGACAGGGAGTCCCTGGTAGAAGATTAATTCTGTCTGGCTCTTCCCTAAATTCTGCATCCTTTTTTTTTATACATACTGAACATAGCTTAGTTTAATTTTACTTTGAATAGAACCAATGATTAGAACCAATGAATCAATAGAATCAATAATTTTACTTTGATTCAATAGAATCAATGAATCAATAGAATCAATAATTTTACTTTGAATAGAACCAATGAACTATCAATAAGTTATTAATTTAATTTAATTGGTTTTTTATTTGCTTGATTTTCTTATAACTATTGTTGACATTTTCTTTTTTTTTTTTTTCCCCCTTGAGATGAAGTCTCGCTCTGTCACCCAGGCTGGAGTGCAGTGGTACAATCTCGGCTGGAGTGCAGTGGCACAATCTCAGCTCACTGCAACCTTTGCCTCCCAGGTACAAGCGATTCTCCTGCCTCAGCCTCCCAAGTAGCCGGGATTATAGGCACCTACTACCACGCCCAGCTAATTTTTGTATTTTCAGTAGAGATGGAGTTTCACCATGTTGGCCAGGCTGGTCTTGAACTCCTGACCTCAGGTGACCTGCCTGCCTCAGCCTCCCACAGTGCTGGGTTACAGACATGAGCCACCATGCCCGGCTGACATTTTCAATTAGTGTTTTTGTTTGTTTGTTTGTTTGTTTATTTGTAGCATAGTCCTTTAAAAGAAGAACTTTCAATGCTAAATGTCTTTTATTTTACAGGTACATGTTTTTTAGTGCAAACGTCTAACAAAGAAACTATAGAAGATTGATGAAGAACTCTTATTGCATGATTATTATAATCAGACCCAAAAGGAACACATCAAGACAAAGAGTCTTGATATTTTCTGACATATGTAAGATTAAGACACTTACATGCTAGTGAAGTCACAAACTAAAACCAGTGAGGTCATGGACAGTGAGTATCATAGTGCCAGTGTGCATGTTGTAACTTTTGGTGAACAACTTAATTTCCCAACAACAAACAACTAGATAAGCATAACCTCAAGATGAGCAGGAGATAATAAGAAGCCTTTAAAAACCTCCCAGTAGCTGGGACTAGGCACCCACCACCATGTCCGGCTAATTTTTGTATTTTTAGTATAGACAGGGTTTCACCATGTTGGCCAAGCTGGTCTTCCAACTCCTGACCTCAAGTGATCCACCCACCTCAGCCTCCCAAAGTGCTGGGATTACGGGCGTGAGCCATGGCACCTGACTGGGTTATCATATAATCTTGATGAAGGAGGGAATTCTGATGAAATTTCAGTGAGATCAGGGATGTGATAGACTTAAAGCAAAACAGGCTCTGTATAAAAGAGTCAATGCCATGTCCAGACTGCATAATGGACCTGGGATCCTATTTCCTTGGAAAATACAAAGTTAAATGTAAAATTACATATTCAGAAACCGCTCATGTGAAAGTCTGCATCTGAGTTGCAGATAACTGCTTCTCAGCATCAAAGTCACTTTCGTTCTTTCTGATATGATTTCAGACTACACAATTTCTGACAGCCTATGACTTTAAAAGACGAGGTGTCATAATGAGTAAGAAAGCAGTAGTTGCTCAAAACGGGTAATTATGACATTTTACAGCTGCAGAATGACCTTAGAAGAAATATTGTTTGCTGTTAACTTTTCAGTGGGTTTTATCTGTGTCTATTCTAGCTTGAGGTGTGGAAGGGCAGAATTTTGCTTTCTCAGTATAAGCTAATTTTTACTTTCTCGAACTCCATCAAAAAGAAACTTTTACATCAGTCTGGCTTAATGTTATTTTCTCAGTGTCTTTGAGGTAAAGAATATGAGGCTTATGATTTCTGGTTTCCATTGTATGCATCAGTGTGTTATCTTAGAATCAACAATTTCCGGGTATTATGTATTAGGTTTCCAATTTTGTCTAAATTATGAATAGAGTTGGTCTGGGATGGTGCAATTGAAATAAATGGGTATTCTTTTAGCTCCCTAGGAACTTTTTGCAATAAAAATATAACTTTAGTTATAGTAATAGTTTCTTCAGTTTAACAAAGTTCAGTTTCTGAATAAAGGATACTTAAGTGAATTTACTTTCACCAAGATCAGAATGCCCTCAACATTCTTAGAAGTTGTTTTAGTCTGTTTGTTGCCATATAAAAGAATACCCAAGGGTGGGTAATTTATAAAGAAAAGGGTTTATTTGGCTCACAGTTCTGCAGTTTGTATAAGAAGCATACTGCCAGTATCTGCATCTTGTGAGGGCCTCAGGCTGCTTGCATTCACAGTGAAAAGGAAAGAGCGCCAGAGTGTGTAGAGACCACATAGCAAGAGTGGGAGAGAGAAGGGGCCATGCTCTTTTTTTTGTTTTTCTGAGACGGAGTCTCACTTCGTCGCCCAGGCTGAAGTGCAGTGGTGCGATCTTGGCTCACTGCAAGCTCCCCCTCTTGGGTTCACGCCATTCTCCTGCCTCAGCCTCCCGAGTAGCTGGGACTACAGGTGCCCGCCACCACGCCCGGCTAATTTTTTTGTATTTTTAGTAGAGACAGGGTTTCACTGTGTTAGCCAGGATGGTCTTGATCTCCTGACCTCGTGATCTGCCCACCTCAGCCTCCCAAAGTGCTGGGATTATAGAGGTGAGCCACAGTGCCCGGCCCATGCTCTTTTTAACAGCCAGCTCTCATGGGAACTATTAATCATAGAGGGAGAACTCACTCATTACCGTGAGGATGGCACCAAGACATTCATGAGGGACCCAGCCCCATGACACAGACACCTCCCATTAGGCCCCATCTCCAACATGGGGATCAGTTTTGAACATGAGGTTTGGGGGGAACGCATCAAAACTATTGCAGCAGTTTTATGTTTCAAAGCTTAATTCACACTTCCACATTCCACAATCAATATTTCATTCGTTCTTCATGCCACACAAACCTCTGATTTTTTATGATTATTTATTTACCTGATTTTCCCCTGGGAGAGAAGAAAAAGGTTGTCTTTCTGGCAGTATTTTTTTTTCCTGTGCACCATTTAATAAGTAAAGAGAAGAATGTACATTTTCTGGGATACTTTGGACTTCAATAAAACACCTATGATAGTCACTACAATCCTATCAAACTAAGCAGATAGCATTTAGAACACTGAATAGAAACTTTCTCGCCGGGCGCGGTGGCTCAAGCCTGTAATCCCAGCACTTTGGGAGGCCGAGACGGGCGGATCACGAGGTCAGTAGATCGAGACCATCCTGGCTAACACGGTGAAACCCCGTCTCTACTAAAAAATACAAAAAACTAGCCGGGCGAGGTGGCGGGCGCTTGTAGTCCCAGCTACTTGGGAGGCTGAGGCAGGAGAATGGCGTAAACCCGGGAGGCGGAGCTTGCAGTGAGCTGAGGTCCGGCCACTGCACTCCAGCCTGGGTGACAGAGCGAGACTCCGTCTCAAAAAAAAAAAAAAAAAAAAAAGAAACTTTCTCTCTCTCACAGTTTGAAAGGAGGCAAGGAGCCTCAATGTTGTTCTTTTAAAAATACACAGTGCCAATTGGTAGGTACTGGAAATGGAGCCTAGCAATGGAGCCACTCCAGGCATATATACTCCTTTGTGAGGGGAAGGTGCAGTGAACCTGGTTTAGCAAAGTTACCATCCCACCCAAGAGCCAATGGGAGCAGCCCTTCTGGAAGACCAGTAAGGTCAGTAGCACAAGACCAGGCCCCCGAAGGGTGCTTGGCATTGCTGTATTCTGAGGCCTTACAAGAGATAACACATACCTGTCAATTCTCTGTGAATTTCCACTTCCATCTCATAAGTGAATTATTTTTTTTAAAGAGTGGCAGAAATAACTCCCCATGACATGCTTTTCAAATACTAGTGGGTC